TCGCGCCCTCTGGCCCCAACCGACCCTCAGGGCTGTTGTGGACGTCACCGTCCCCAACCATCAGCCACCTTCCAGCTGCCCCCACGCCATCCCTTGGGGTTGAAGCCCCAAAACCCCTCCCTGGTTGACTCCTTCCTTCTCCCAAGCAGGGAAAGGGCCTCATCCTGCCCACATAAGATAAATTAGGGAGCCAGGAGCTGGAGGAGCCCTTTCCTCCTCCCGTTGGGACCACCCAGCTCCGCTCAGAGGTGCTCCGGCAGCTCTCGCGTCACGCCGGCAGTGGCTCGTCCCGTTGTTTCATTGCAGGATGGAAGGTTTTCTCCCCCCCGTCTCCTGCTTCCCCGGAGGTGTCCTCCTCTGAGAACGTGGGGTCGGGGTGGTGGCCGTGGTACCTGTCAGGTAGAGGTTGGGGATGGCCGTCTGCGCCCTCACGGTGGCGATGGCTTCGGCTCGCAGGCGGGCGATGCTGTGGTTGACGCCGTATATCTCCCCGTTGGGGCTGGCGATGTAGTGCTGGTTGGTGAGGGGCGTCCCGCCGGAGAGGTACTCGATCTGGGGGAGGGGACAAGGGGACCACTTGGTCTGCAGGGGGTAGGGCTCATGGTGTGGGGTGTCTGGTGCTCCAGAAAGCTGTTTTTGCGGGGTACGGGCCGTGGCGGGTTTCCTTGCGGACCCTTGGGTGGTGGTTCTGGCCAGGTTTGGTCCCAGGATGGTCCTAGAGGAGCATCGTCCCCCCCTTGCACCACGCACGGTCAGGAGGCAGCAGCGGTGGGTCGGTGCCACCCTGCCCAGCTGGACCTCACGTCCAGCAGGCCCAGACCCAGCTCCTCCGTCTGCAGGACGGGGCTGGTTAGACGGGACCCAGGGGAGGAGCTGGAGGACCCGGGAACCCCGGGGGTTCCTCACCCTGTCCTCGATGCGAGGGTAGAGCTTGAAGACCGTCTGCATGATGGTGTCCACAAAGGTCTTCTTCAGCTCCTCGTAATCCTCTCCTCGCTTATGGACCGGCTTGTCCTTCCACTCCTCAAACCACTCGTATTTGGCGAAGGTCAGGATGGCCAGCGTGGATTTACCTGCAAGAGGACAAGGGCAGGGGGGATTGTCCCTCTGCCCACCCTCACACCACCGTTTGGCTGCCACAAACCCAACCCTCCCCGGAGTCCCCAGCTCTTTGTGGTCCGTGTCTTTCATCCGGGTACCTTGAAGACCACTTTCCATGAGCAACCCGCTCAGCAGCTTTGACCCGTGGCTACTTGAGACAAAAAAACCTCCTCATTTGCCCTCACCAACCCAACCAAACCCCAGCGAGAGGTTTTCCAGCCCCTCCCGAGTGTTTGTGGTTGGGCTTCCACCTTTACCTGGGTGCCTCATTTCCCAGGTGGGGTCCTTGGCCGAGGGGCAGGTGACAAACAGGAAAGGGATGTTCCTGGCAGCTTCTTCTCTGGAAGAAGCCAGGTAGCGGTTCATTCTGCAGAGAGAGGCAAGGGTTTGAGGTGGGTTTCGGTGCAAACCTTGCCCTGGATTCTTCTCACGGCCGAACCCCTGCGCAGCGAGAGGACCTGCCAGGAGCGTTTTCTGAGTCACCACCCAGGAATTCAGCTCCTTCTGCTTGACGAAGCACATCGAAGGTGAAGCCCAACCTACGTTTCATCCAGGTCGTTTCCTGCGTATATGAAGTAGTTGATGGGCTCCAGCCCCAGCTCTTCCCTCGAGCCCTTAACACCTACGAAGACGATGAAGCCCCCTTCGCCGTGTGTCACCATGCGAAGCTGAGCCTGGATCTCTGTGATACCGAGGGGAGAAGGGGGAAATCAGCGTTCGCTGGGCTCCTCAGCTCCAGGTTTTCTAGGAGAAGCCCCGCTCCCATCTCCGTCGCTCCCACGTTGGCTCGTGAAACTGGTGTATCCCAAAACACCCTCCGCGTGCTCGAGGGGTGGGACGGCACCTCCCGCAGACCGCAAGGAAGGCGGCAGCGCCGTGATTTCCTACGGGGGGCTGCTTTAGGGTACCCTGGGCTTGAGCTCTTGCTGGATCTAACGACCTTCTGGGGTTCGAAGGCGCTTCTGCTCTGCAGCCTTAAAGGTTGTGGACCAGGACCGGAGCGTTGCCGAGAGGGCTCCCCCCAAAGCCGTGCCCCCTTCCCCCCAACCCCACCTCTTCCACAGCAGGAAGATTTCGTGGCAGCCCTGAACCCCGCTCCAAGTGGACTTTGGGGGTGCTACGCTGTGGGGTTTAGGGATGCTGAGCATCAAGCCGGGGCTTTACCGACGACGGCTGGTTTTGGCAAAATAATTGAGGTTTGGTTAAAAACCCCGTGAAGAAACGTGTGGCCAGGGCTGGTTTGGACTGGTGCGACACACGAGCCACGGGGTTTTGCTGAGCTCTACGGCATAACCA